TATATATATATATAAAATGGTTCAGACAGTTCTCATATTTGACAGTGTAATAAAAAAAAGAAATACAACAGTAACTAAAATGTCACATAGCATACATAATGAAAAGCATAATCAGACATAATAATAAACAAAAATTTTCAAATGAAATTAAAAATATTTGTGTACGTAGGCCTAAATGCTAATATAAAACAGAATTTAATACATCGTAGATGTCCATAGTACTTATGGCAACTTAACTGAGGATTCGATTTTATGATATATTATATATATATATAAATTCCATTTCGACACTTGCAATACAATTTTCATGCCATTTTATTAGATTTTCATACAATTTTAAAATTCCCTGATATTTCCCTGGCTATTGAAACCTTGTACACGTCCCATTCACATTTAATCGAGACAGGGGAAAGCCGCAGGTTCTTGGTTGGGCATACATTGTTGTGTAGTATATATCTATCATTACATTTGGAAACATGCATTTGTAGTGAAAAATGGAAACCTTAGAAAAAAATTATATATTTTTTTAAATTACATCTAAAGGAAAAAGTCATCTTTAAGCGAAAAACTAAACGAAAAAGCTGGACCTTGTGTATGTGTGCACATTTTTTCTCAACAATATGAAATTTCACTAACAATAAATTCAAGATCTAAATCTGTGTTTTCATAAGATAAAATTGTGTATTTTAGTTAAAGAGAATAATTAACATCCTAAAACAGGGCTGTCCAAACTCTTCCTGGAGGGCCGGTGTCCTGCAGAGTTTAGCTCCAACTTGCCTCAACACACCTGACTGGAAGTTTCTGGAAGTTTCTAGTATGCCTATAAGAGCTTGATTAGCTAGTTCAGGTGTGTTTAATTAGGGTTGGAGCTAAACTGTGCAGGACACCTGCCCTCCAGGACCGAGTTTGGACAGCCCTGCTCTAAAACTATTTTCCTGGACATGTTTGACCTTACTAAACGGAAATGACGTCAGGACGCACGGGCAGCATTCGCACCGCTCGAGAGGAAGTGCTATGTAGACAGTTCGGCTAACTCCGTAAGAAAATTTAAAAAAAGGAAAAAAAAAATATTATAAAAAAAAAGCTCATTGAAATTCTTCAGTCGGGTGGGTTCGGAAAGACTTCGCAAACTACCCCGATCGGAGGAAATCCCCGGCGGGCGAAGTAAAAGTCTTGAGAGCTGGTAATCGGTCTTTATTCTTCACTTTGAAGCTTGTTTTTGGCTGTTGGTGTGAGGCTTGCGCTGCTGTCGCCCGATCGCCGGAAGTCTGCGTAAAAACGCCTCGGTCCCAGCGTCGACGTTTTTTTCAATCGTTTTTCGCCTTTCCTTTTTTTATTTTAGCAGGCAGTAGCGCGAACGCGCGGGTCAAGCCATGCTGTTATCGTTCAGTAGATTCGCCGCAGCCTGTCATGTTCAGATATTTAGATGGATGGGTTATTTGTAAAAAAATATTTGAACATTTTTAATGTCATCAAAAAACATCATTTTACAGTGCATTGTTTTTAATAAAGAATTAAGCAAAGCACATTCTCTTTTCTACAACAAAATGATACATTGCACCCAGATAAAAAAGAGCTAAGTTACTATGAACAATATATCTGTAACAATATAACCTCAACACAGACTCCTGAGCGATGATGGTTCTGTCGAATGAAGCGTATTACAGTCACGTGTGAGGGCTTTATAGCAACTAGCTAATGCGAAATGGATGATTTATTTGTTCCGACCATAAATAAACGTATGATGGACACCAGGGGCCCGTTTCATAAAACGAAGTTTCTAGTATGCCTATAAGAGCTTGATTAGCTAGTTCAGGTGTGTTTAATTAGGGTTGGAGCTAAACTGTGCAGGACACCTGCCCTCCAGGACCGAGTTTGGACAGCCCTGCTCTAAAACTATTTTCCTGGACATGTTTGACCTTACTAAACGGAAATGACGTCAGGACGCACGGGCAGCATTCGCACCGCTCGAGAGGAAGTGCTATGTAGACAGTTCGGCTAACTCCGTAAGAAAATTTAAAAAAAGGAAAAAAAAAATATTATAAAAAAAAAGCTCATTGAAATTCTTCAGTCGGGTGGGTTCGGAAAGACTTCGCAAACTACCCCGATCGGAGGAAATCCCCGGCGGGCGAAGTAAAAGTCTTGAGAGCTGGTAATCGGTCTTTATTCTTCACTTTGAAGCTTGTTTTTGGCTGTTGGTGTGAGGCTTGCGCTGCTGTCGCCCGATCGCCGGAAGTCTGCGTAAAAACGCCTCGGTCCCAGCGTCGACGTTTTTTTCGATCGTTTTTCGCCTTTCCTTTTTTTATTTTAGCAGGCAGTAGCGCGAACGCGCGGGTCAAGCCATGCTGTTATCGTTCAGTAGATTCGCCGCAGCCTGTCATGTTCAGATATTTAGATGGATGGGTTATTTGTAAATAAATATTTGAACATTTTTAATGTCATCAAAAAACATCATTTTACAGTGCATTTTTTTTTATAAAGAATTAAGCAAAGCACATTCTCTTTTCTACAACAAAATGATACATTGCACCCAGATGTGTTCACATGAAGCAGCAGCCATGACTTTCATCATTTGGCCAGGCACAACCCACTCTGACATCTTTTTTTTTTTTTCTTCACAGTATTGTGTCCCGATATTTACAGTCATTTTTTTATATTTTTAGTTATAGTTATGTTTTATATTTTTGCTTGTCCATGTGTGTCAGTTTTTTTTCTTTCTTGTGAAGTGGCCTTGATCTGTAGGAAAGGTGCTTGATATGTTTATTATCATCATTATTATATTGTACAAGTAAAACTTGTACCCGGCTTTTCAAGCGGCCTTCATGGGTCCCCGTTCAAACTGAGCTCCCAAACATCTCTGTCTGCGTTGCTTGGCATTATTGCACTCTAATTTTGTGAGACAGGAACAGGTACACTTATTGTCTCATCAGTCTTGGCTCACATAATTAAAGCATTTTACTCTTGCATGACTCCACCAGACAAGAAAAATTACTCCGTGCCCTGCTCACCGGTTATCATGCCGTTACCGTCGAAACGAGGCAGAAAGAAGAAAGAATCACTCCCATTGGTTGGCTCACCTACTGGGACAGATCCCTTGATTTTGGGTCTTTCAGGACAGGTATGACAACTATGCATATAGAGGAATCCTTATTGACATTCTCTGTATTAGTGATTAGCCCAGATAAGATAATTTTTTTTATTGTAAGTTTTTATTTTTCCTATGGCTGCATTTGGTTGATCAAAAACAGTAGAAATAGTACAATTGTGAAATACTATTACAATTTAAAATGTATACATTTTAATATACTTTTAAGTGTAATTTATTCCAGTGAATTAATCAACTTTTACCCCGTGAATAAATCAGCAAAGCTGAATTTTCAATCTTCAGTGTCACATGATTCTTCAGAAATCATTTTAATATGTGGATTTGGGGCTCAAGAAACATTTCTCATTATTATCAGTGTTGAAAACAGTTTTTGTGGAAGCTGATTCATTTCTTTAATGAATAGAAATGTTCGACACTTGTCTCACTAATACAAGCATTCTATTTCTATTTTATTTCTATTTTATCTGCTTGTTTTCTTTTTATTTATTTTTTAAAAACTTCACCCTCTAACACTTGCACTCTCAATTCTATTTTTATTCGAACTACTTGTTTTATTTTTATTTATTATAAATAATGACCCTCTAACATTAGCGTTCTCTATTCTTTTTCTATTCTATCTACTTGGTTTCTTTTTATTTATTATAAAAAAACCTTGCTATGTGTACTGCGTTAGAATAACTGAGACTTGTCATAGCACTTGCCTGTCATCCCCTTTGTCGCTCATTCATTGCCCATCTGCACTTGCGTTTCTCGCTTCTCCCTCTCGTTTTTCTTTTCTGGAGCCTAGAGTCTACAATTTCCTTCTGGATCGTTCTCTGTTGACCTCTTCGTCTCTCACCCTCCTTATGTTGTCTCTTTCTCGCCTGTTTGTCGTGTCTCATGTTTCTCCTTTCACTATTGATGGACCAGGCTTGTAACTTTCCTTTTCTCTTTGTCCCGTTTCCATTTGTACTTTGTTTTCTCCCATATTTTCCTTTTCTCTCATCCCTCTGTCCTCTTGGTGTGTGTGTGTGTGTTTTTTACTTTCTGTAGGTGCCGGATGTGTGGTTTGACGTTCTGCAATAAATCAGACATGCAGCTGCACTCCAAGTCGCACACGGAGGTGAAAGCTCACCAGTGTCCGCACTGCTCCAAATCCTTCGCTAACACCAGCTACCTGGCCCAGCACATCCGCATCCATAGCGGTACAACAATATAATGTATAATATAAATAATGGATATTTATTTTGAGATTTGCTCAACTTTTGTCCAGTGTTGTGCAGTGTATGGATGCAGCAGTATTACAATTCTGTCCGATCTTGACAGGATGATATTTATTTTCAAATATGACAAAGCCAATAAATAGCTAATATTAGAGTTCAATACCATAAGACAGACAAACAAACAAATTTAAATCAATAATTATAAATTAGTGCTGTCAATCGATTCAAAAAAATTAACTAATAAATCGCACATTTTTTTCTGAAATGAATCGTGATTAAGCCCACCTAACAATAAAGTTTTAAATATACTTTTATATTCCAATAATTTCACATTCAATTTTCAAATTAATCTAGAGACAACATACAGTATATTTTTTATTTGTTTAATTGAATCCGGAATCCAGGTGAGTATCACTGATACCAATACTACTGATGTCTCTATTAAATTGTCATTTTTTCCCCTAATATTTAACCAGTGACTGACTATAAGCCATTCAACATTACAGTTTAATTGAGAGCTATCAATCTTAACATTTATTAGACTTTAAAAAAGAACAACTTCTAATTTAAGTGAACTTAAAACAATCTTCACATAAACCCAATATAATAAATGTCATATTTACCTGTGCCCTTCAGCAAGTAGGAAATATACAGAAATTGAATAATTATTAAACACTGAATTCTAAATATAGATGAATCCTTAAAGCTACAAAAGTTATTTATTTCCTCTTTTTTTTGTTCTTTGATTAACAGACACCACAGCAGCTGGGTTATTAGGTTATTTGGATGCTATTACTTTAAGAGCTGCCGCTGCTGAACGTGACGCGGATCTGACATGCATGCTTGTAGTTTCATTCACACTTTAATATAAAATCATACAGGCTACCAGCAAAGTATAATGGTTGACAGGACAGGAAAATTCCTTTTTACTGACATATGGCCTGACAACATCTCATCTGACCGTAGTTCACTGTTGTTTTACTGAAGCTCCTCATCACCTGTACCTTTTCCGCACTCGTTTGACTCGCGCCTAGCGCTGTTTGATGTGCTTGTAAAGACATTCTGAGGCTAAATAAATGCAGTTCTTTCCAGAGAAAAAAAATAAACAGAAGCAGCAGTTGTGAGTGGGGTGACTATGAGCTTAGCATAAAGAGAAACCATTTTAAAGATTTATTTTTGGCATTTTTGCCTTTATTATGATAGGACAGATCAGAACTGACAGAAAACAAAGTGGGAGAGAGAAAAGGAGGCTGGGATCAGGAAAGGTCCTCGAGTCGGGATACGAACTAGAGGTCTGTGCACAGTGCGCGGGACTATTTTTTTTAGTCCCACTCCTGCAAGGTTCTATTCCGCACCCACCCGCTCCCGCTATCCGCTTAGAATCATTTTCTTCCCGACCCGACAGTTCCCGCTAAATTTAGATTTCGTTTCCAGAATCTCACATTTAAATTTCCGCTACTGAAAGAAAGAGATAGGCTGACAAATAAAAGTGTAGTCTGCACAAAATTGTATGTTATTTTATTAGTCTTGTCAAGAGTCTTGAATTTATTGACTTTGACTTGAATTTATATGAATTATCTTAAGACACAAAATGTGTTTAATATTTTATGCAACACAGTAGGGAAAAAAGTGTCAGAGAAAATAAAAATGTACTAAAATTGTATGTCTTTTTATTCCTCTTGTCAGGATACAATTTGTTTAACATTTACAACACAATATTAAAAAGTGTTGCAGAGAGAAAAAACTAATACAAATGTAGGTTGTACAAAAATAGCTTATTCGCTATTTTTATTCGTCTTGTCAAAATATTAAATTAGTTTGACATTTTTCTGTTAACACAGTAGAAAAAGTGTCGCAGAGAAAAATAAATGACATCTTTCATTTAAAATTATAGGCTAAGCAAAATATAAACAAAACAGAGTTGTACGTCCTTAAAAGGACAGCACATCCTTATTCTGCTCTGTCACTCATCGACAACCTGCCTGTTCTGTCTGAGGGCCGTATATTTACCACCGGTACAGCCTGCTCTGAGCATCGTTATGCACATGCTGCGCACAGACCTCGCAAATAAAACACGTGACGCAGAAAGCATGCGTGCAGCGCGTGCATAACAGTCCGAGTGCAGGCTGTACCGGTGGTCAATAAGAATAAAGCGCAGATGTGCTGTTCTGAATGGACGTCAGGAACGGGATATGGACCCTTTTCACATTTCCGGGTTTTGCAGCAGCGGAAGTCGTCATAGTTGGGTTAACTCAGAGGTGTAAAGAGTACCTAAAAACCATACTTGAGTAAAAGTACAGATACGTTACAGTGAAAATTTCTCCACTACATGTTACAAGTCACCAATTCCAAAACAACTTGAGTAAAAGTCTTAGAGTATACGTGACGCAGAAAGCATGCGTGCAGCGCGTGCATAACAGTCCGAGTGCAGGCTGTACCGGTGGTCAATAAGAATAAAGCGCAGATATGCTGTTCTGAATGGACGTCAGGAACGGTGCTGTTCTGAATGGACGTCAGGAACGGGATATGGACCCTTTTCACATTTCCGGGTTTTGCAGCAGCGGAAGTCGACATAGTTGGGTTAACTCAGAGGTGTAAAGAGTACCTAAAAACCATACTTGAGTAAAAGTACAGATACGTTACAGTGAAAATTTCTCCACTACATGTTACAAGTCACCAATTCCAAAACAACTTGAGTAAAAGTCTTAGAGTATCTGAATTTAACAGTACTTAAGTATTTTACTTATACTAAATATAGGCTCAAAGATGCACTAGTCAAAGAGACACGCCAGTCAAAAACTGAGACAGGAAGTGACATAAAAGTCCAGGGCAAGGCACAGAGAGCATGAAACAAAAACAAGAAAGAGTTGATTTGTGAGGAGAGCAATCACATTGATTTTTTAACACCTCAAAATTACAAAAATAAAAGGTCTCTTCAGTATAATGGATAAATAAAATAATGTTGAGTAAAATTTAAAAGCCGAAGCCTTCTTGCAGTGGATGTGCTGGTTTGGGCCTCATTGCCAGCTGCAGTCATATCCTCATCTCATATAAATTGTTAGAAGAAACTAAAACTTCTCAGGTTTCAAAGAATGAAAGAAATAACATTTTATGTTTTTTTCTATATTTCCCTTTCATTTCTTTCTCTATTTGTTTAATTTATTTCTCCTCTGGCACACTTTTTATTACTGCGGACTACTTAAACTTTTACTCCACACTGTGGAGCTTTACACACACACACACACACACACACACACACACACACACACCGACTGAAGGATTGAACTGAAATTGCAGCTGTCAGTGAAAGCCCAGCTCTCTTTGACTCTACATTATCGTCCCATAACTGTGTAGTGGTTTTATGAGGTTCGGCCCCACTCTGAAATAGAGGTCACATAAAGGTTTCGCCCATTCCTGATCACACTTGTACATGGGATTGGGCTCTGCTGCCCACAGAGTTCCTGTGAGGATTTAGTGCAAATGTTTTTTTGAGAAATGGATCTGCCCTTTCTCTGACCTCATTCAAGCACCTTCCACACCACTTCCAAATGTATTTGAAATACACTGCACACTTTTGACAATTGTTGGCGGTACTGATAGGGACCACCTAAGAAAGGTCAGCAGAGTGAGTATAGAAATGAAGAATATTGTCATGTCAAATATTTGTGTAGTGTGTGTAAATTATTGAATGAGCCCCTGGATAAGTACGTTGGTCTTTCCTTCTTTGCAGAAACCACACAGAATTATTGCTCAAAATTATTTTTCACACTCCTATTTGCAGCCACCTGGAGGTTATTGGATCCTGGTCTTTAGAACATTATATGAATAAACATTACAATTATTGGTACTAAGACCAGTATTGCAGTATTGTGGGCCGCAAGTGAGTGTGCAGAAAAATTGGAGAGAAAAGACAAATATTTCACATAATGTATTTGTAGGGCTGTCAAAGTTAACATGTTGACTTAAAATATTTACTACGTATGTGTTTAACACATTAATAATGATAATAATTTAACACGTTGATTTAGAATATGTAATGTAAAAAGTGCTTGACAAATCTTGGAACTTGGAAATGTTTTTCTGCAGCATTATTTTCTTAAAGGCCTAATGCCAGTGTCAGAGAGATTATTCAAAAATTTTTCCCCAATTTCCAAAGCGGTAGCTGACAGTGTTTTCAGCCCACTTTATGAATAACCGACAAAAAGCCTGCGTGGTTAAAGTGCTTCTTGTGACCTCCGCATTTTGCTTTCAGTTGTGCTCCATCTAGCAGTTTTTGAACGCAAACACGTGTTCTGGGTGTCCGCCCTCTGAGACATTCTGCGGTCACATTGGAAAGGTTGACATCAGGGCCTCATCCTCTCTTGCTTGTTGCTATAGCAACATACTCTGATGATAGTGTGCTTATATGTAAGTTTATGTGTAATGGACTGTGTAATTATATACCACAGTCTTTATAATGGTGCAGCTGATGTCACCATGTGTAGTGGGCAGATTGCACATTAAATGTCTCGCTGATGTACTGGAGAAAAAATTGTTAGAAGAAACTAAAACTTCTCAGGTTTCAAAGAATGAAAGAAATAACATTTTATGTTTTTTTCTATATTTCCCTTTCATTTCTTTCTCTATTTGTTTAATTTATTTCTCCTCTGGCACACTTTTTATTACTGCGGACTACTTAAACTTTTACTCCACACTGTGGAGCTTTACACACACACACACACACACACACACACACACACACACACCGACTGAAGGATTGAACTGAAATTGCAGCTGTCAGTGAAAGCCCAGTTCTCTTTGACTCTACATTATCGTCCCATAACTGTGTTGAAGTTTTATGAGGTTCTGCTCCGCTCTGAAATAGAGGTCACATAAAGGTTTCGTCCACTTCTGATCACACTTGGACATGGGATTGGGCTCTGCTGCTCACAGTGTTCCTGTGAGGATTTAGTGCAAATGTTTTTTTGAGAAATGGATCTGCCCTTTCTCTGACCTCATTCAAGCACCTTCCACACCACTTCCAAATGTATTTGAAATACACTGCACACTTTTGACAATTGTTGGCGGTACTGATAGGGACCACCTAAGAAAGGTCAGCAGAGTGAGTATAGAAATGAAGAATATTGTCATGTCAAATATTTGTGTAGTGTGTGTAAATTATTGAATGAGCCCCTGGATAAGTAAGTTGGTCTTTCCTTCTTTGCAGAAACCACACAGAATCCAAACCTCACAAGTGTCCTCACTGCACGAAATCATTTGCCAACACAAGCTACCTTGTTCAGCATGTACGAATACACACAGGAGTCAAACCTTACACCTGTAACTACTGCCAGAAAACCTTCAGACAGCTCAGTCACTTGCAGCAACACCACAGGTACCACACAGAATGTGTTTTCTTTTCAGTTGTGCTTTTTCATTCATGTTTTCTTTTTTATTTGTGTTTGCACCTGCTTTATTATTCAGTTGAGTTTTCCATTAATTTCTTATCTTTTGACATTTTGTGCCTGTTCAGGATCCACACAGGAGATAGGCCATACAAATGTTCATATCCTGGTTGTGAGAAGTCTTTCACTCAGCTTTCTAACCTACAGGTGACATACTCTGTTTCTGTATTTAAATATATAAAGGCAATTTTTTAAGTGTTATTTTTATTTAGAATATTAATTTCCTAAGTTTTGCTTTAAGGAATAATGTCTTTCAAAAACTGTATGTTTTTTCCATGAATTGAAGGTAAAGGGTGACTGAGTAAAGGATGTGCAATTCAGTTCTTGAAGTAGAATTCCCTTTTATCTTTAGTGTGCAGAATTGCAATTTTAGTTTCTATACAAGAAAGGAAAATTCAAATGAATGAATTGAAATTCAAAGAAATTGATTTTTCACCTAGAAAAGCCAAGTTCATTAGACCGTTTTTCAAACTTTGAATGTTGGTTCGACAAAGCTGACCCCAAACTTTTAAACAGTAGTATATATAGATGAATAGATAGATCTTTCTGTCATTCATTTTCAGATTCCAGTATTACTTCCTGCGGGATGTAGCCAATTCAATTTATATTCACATTCATGAATTGAAAAGGGAGCCAATTCTTCGATTCTTCTTCAGTTCTTCTTTTTCAATTCTTGAATTTGGCAGAACCCTCCTCCAGCAGTCAAGCAACATTTTCAGTCAATAGTAACATACATTTTTGCCTGTTCCTTACGCTAAACTATTGTACACCTTCAAAACACTTAAAACAAGCACCCAAGTCTTATGGGTTGTTTTATGATGGTTTTATGATACTGTTTGGAGCTTGACAACCCTTGCTTCCCATCCACTTTCATCGTTTGCAAACGAGCAGCTCTGATTTGGACAAGTTTGGAGCAACATGTTGTGAGTAAATTATGATTTTTTGGGGGGTAAACTGTCACTTTAATATTTCTCTCAATCTTTTACAGTCTCATCGGCATCAGCACAACAAGGACAAACCGTATAAGTGTCACCACTGTAACCGTGGTTATGTAGACGCAGGCAGCCTGGAGGTTCATCTGTCCACTCACACGGTCAAACACGACAAACTCTACTCCTGTGGTTTATGCAACCACACATATACCTCGGTACAAACATCAGCGCCCAATCTCTCACCATAAATGAGCAGCATTTCCAATTATTTTTTAAAATGATCCTAATATGTATCTTTCTCTTGTCTGTAGGAAACATATCTGATGAAGCACATGCGAAAACACACCCCAGATATGCTTCCGTCTCCACCCGGATCAAACCAACAGAATCACAGCTCCGGTCACACAGGAGGAAGTAGCTCGGATGGAGACGGGCAAAGCCAAGCCGAGAGGAACAATGCCTTCATCCAGCCGTGCATATTCGACTTGAACCAATACAAGTCAGTACCTTCTGCAGATGTGCAGTATAAAACTGTCTGTATATCTGACATTTCCCCTCACAAAGACCTCTGCATCACTGTGGAGGCTTCTGCCATACAGGTGGGACACCTAAACTCATGAGGAATCCCATGAAACTTTGGAGGTTAGGAAAAAACTTTTGCAATCGATGAGATCCACACAGAGCTGTGGATATAGAATGACTTTTCTTACTCGATAACGTTTTATTTGTATAAAGGAGCAAGTGGATTTAATTGGACAAAATCGAAGAAAATAGACTTTTGTATTTTTTTATAATCCTGATCTCCCTCCCCAAAAGCTTCCTTGAAGACTGTTGCTGTTTCAGTGGGTACCCAGCTCATATCTCAAGTCTGTTGCTGAAATTTCTAGTTTATCTTGTTTGTTTGATTGTCTGCGTCTGTAGTTTTTGGTACGATCACTGCACTGTCAACATCAATATTGTTACTGTCAATGAGAACGGAAATATTGTGTCTTGCACATTATGTATGGGAATTGTTGTTCTGTTTTTGCTTTTAAAAAGGGAAATTTGTTTGCAGTTACATACGTTAAAAAGCACGTATATATGGTTAAAAGATGTATTGTGTGTGAATGAAAAAAGGACAACAGTTATAGATGTGTGTGTCAACTAATGTCGATGGCAAATATCTAATGAGATGGTGTTTTTCTTGAAAAATTATCCTGTTTAGTATTTCCATTTGCAGATGACGAAATTTTACATTATTACATTAATAGAATATATAATATTCTATTGTAACTACAGTTATCAAAATAACTGTAAACATGCAACAACCTCTAGGCATTAATAAAATCAGATTAGTGTGCATTAATCCTTTAAAACAAGATTTAAAAACCGAAATGATTGCTTCTAATGTGCCTCCTTGTGATAATCTGTTTTATAATCTGTCTGTTAACTCTGTCAACCTGGGTTTTTCAATTTTTAAAAAATTATTTATGGCATTAACGGGTAGTATTGTCGTTTCTAATAACTAAATCATTAAGTAAGAATATAGAATATCATTATTAATGTTTTTTTTATTATTATTCCTCCATAACCAACAAGGACCCTCGTCGGTTTAGACAATAGAGTTACTTTCTTTGTGGTTTGTAGATTCTGAACTTTTCTAAATAAGATTTGTAAAATCCCTCATGATTTCATGTTTAACAGTTGTTTGTCAGACGTCAAAGAAACAATGTAATTAATTATTTGTGCTTAACTTTGTATATACTTTCAGATTTATTTGTGGTTAATTATTGTTACATTTAAGACAAATAATGGTGTTTCTAACATTCCATTGTATAATAGTTTCATTTCTGTGACAGACTGCACCACTAGTCAAAAATATGGGGGTCAAAATTACTTACTGCTTTATCGTTTGACTTTAGTAAACAGTAGTCGCATGAAGTGAACAGAGGTAGTAAAAGAACAGAGAGCAATTGAACATTGTCGATCGAATGTACTTCTGACTCCTAGTGTTGAATCCTTGAAGACTATAATGGTAGCGTCCAGAGCCATAGCTCTCTACAGCTCTGGTAGCGTCCACCCCGTCAGTGGGCGGGGTCACAGAAAAGTCCACGCGAGTAACGGAGAAACTTCACGAATGTAAATAGTAAGCGTACAAGGAGGATACGTCCTCGCGCATTCTCTCTATTGTCTTCTTTTGACTAAGGCGAACATGCCACGCAAAAAGCCTTTTAGTAACAAACAGAAAAAGAAGCAGCTCCAGGTGAAACGCGAGAAAAAGAGAGGTGGGTAACTTAACTAGCTTAGCTGAGTTAGCGCGCCGCGAGCTGAACGCGCTCGCACATTAGCCACGTGACGCATTGTTTTATGATTTATATTTTAGTGTGTAGTAATGTAAACCGGTTCCCCCATATTAGAGCATTCATTGAGCTACTACGCTTCTGCAACTACTTTGTTTGCTAAGTTTGTTGTGCTAAGTTGTAACCAAACTTGACAGGCTCAAAGCAGCGCGTTGCTGTCGTTTTTATGTGTGGGTTGCAAACAAGAAGTAACGCCGAATTTCACGCCAAGCAACAGTATACATGCATCATAAGTGAGCTTGATATGGTGGTTGTGTGCAGTAAACAACTCTGCTCCTGACAGTTCGAACGACACACACCCCAGCAGTTATGTTTCTATATAGACTAAATTTCGATTGTGATTTGTCATCTGTGAAAGGAGGTGATTATGATACGCATTTAGAGCAACAAGTGTTTTGCTGTAGTCGGCGTTTGTGTTATGCGGTATATAAGTGCGCAGACTCAGCGTGAAGTTACGTAACACAAAAACCAAGCGATCAATACACACTGCTGTTCGCCTGCAGTTCTGTAAGTGTTCTGGTCAATTAAAACCGGTGCAGATGAACTAGTTAATCATTTCATAATCATGCCATCAGTGTAAAGCACACTGCACTATTCTCATAAGAACTACTAATGGCAACAAAGTGTTAATTATGGAGGGTTATGACTGGATTCTGAAGGTGCTTTCACAAATTAAAGCCTTAAAAGGTCTTAAATCAGAGCAGAAGTCTTAATTTCATCAAGTCATGGCATTAAATATTGCATACACTGCTATATATATATATATATATATATATAGTGCTGTCAAAGGATTAATCCCATCCAAAATAAAAGTTTTTGTTTACATAACATATGATTGTACTTTTTATATTTATGTATAATGTAACTACACACACCAGCATGTATATATATTTAAGAAAAAAAGTGTTGTTTATATAAAAAATATTTATATAGGTCTATAATACAAATTATATGAATATATATATGTAAATGTAAAAATATCTACTGTATGTGTGTGTATTTATATATACATAATAAATATACACAGTACACACACACACATATATATGTGTATATATATATATATATATTATGTGAACAAAAACTTTTATTTTGGATGAGATTAATCTGGATTAATTGTTTGACAGCACTAATATATATTATATACATACATACATACATACATATATACAGTTGTGTTCATAAGTTTATATACCCTTTGCAGAATATGCAAATATGTGAAAATTAACAAAAATAAGAGAGCTCATGAAAATTGCATGTTATTTTTTATTTATTACTGTCCTGAATAAGCTATTTCACATAACCGATGTTCATATATACCCTGTATATATTTTTATATATATAGGTATATGTATTATATATATATATAATGGTAATAAATGGTAATAATAAATCTTAATACTTTGTTTCATTTCCCAGATGATCCATAACTGTTTTTCTGTTTAGTGATAGTTGTTCATGAGTCCTGCGTTGGTCCTGAGCAGTTCAACTGCCTGCTGTTCTTCAGAAAAATCCCCCAGATTCTTTGGTTTTCCAGCATCTTGTGCATATTTGAACCTTTTCCAAAAGTGACTGTATGATTTTGAGATCCATCTTTTCACACTGAGGAAACTAATTTATCGATTAATCTAAACGATTAATTTCCCACAAAAATCAACAATTTTACTTATATTTTATTAAACCAAATGAAATCCAAATTTCTATGAAATCCTTTTTTAAAGCAAAAGTAAAGTGCAACAGAGAGTGCAAGAAGCAAGTTTCCATCTCATAACATATCCACATGTTCTAGTCTACTAATAATACAATTATAATCAAAAAACACTTTTTAAAGTAGTATTTACCAGAAATGTTATTTACCAGAATTTATTTAGGAGAAAAATGTAAATGTGCAGTATTTCTGGAAAAAAAAGTTTTTATTACGCAAAATTTAATGGAACCAATCAAATGGAATCCAGAAAATAATGGAAAACAGAATTTGGTAAAGATAAAAGTGTAAAACTAAATTAATTAGACAGGTTTTTTAATTAATACAATTCTATTTAACCATTAAAACGGAGTATAGAAAATGGGGAAAAAAACTGAATTTGGAAATAAATGGATTTCATAGGGCCCTATAATTATAATATATATTTTTTGTGGTAATAAAAATAGATGTAAGTGAACAATAGCCTTTAAAATGACTTAAAATACATATATAATAGCAATGAGGCAATAATAATTAGTTCAAATAAAGTATCAAAAGCAAGAAATCATATGGTTTTCTTTAACAAAACTGTTAAAATACATAATGTATTATAAACAATAGAGCTAATGTACATTACGCATTACAACAAAGGCCTGCAGAGGGCGCCAACGGCCTGACGATTGTTTTTACACATTGCTGTGCGATCTAATACTTGTTTAATATTGACCAAGCACCATTTAATTCAAATGTCCACTTAATCTTTAATATGTGTCCATTTCTTTAGGACAGAAATGCTATAGCCACTGAAATTAAAAGAATATGTGGACATCAAAAAGTGTAAACTCAGAGTGAGGGTTTGAGCTTTTATTTTGAAACCGCGATGCATTCTCCTGAGTTTGCGTAGATTTATAAATAATTTACCTTACAAATCTGATGAAATGGTGCTCGTTGCATTCCCAGATGAAAGTTATAATAAACCCAAACTCACAACAACATGCAGAGATGGAGTTTGAGGCGCTCCACACATGTAAATGATAACAGTTCCTGTGGAACTACTGTGAACGGAGCCGCTGTGTGACGCACATACTTAACCTACACGCATGTAAATAATTAAAGAGCATACTGTATTAGAACTGCATCGCATATAATTATTTAATTAAATTGTAGCGTTTGTGAATTCACAATTATGCTTAATGGGTTTAATATATCATGCAGCCTTGGGAAACAGTCTAATAATGTGTTTTATGGATTCTCGTCTGTGAAATGCGCAACTTCCTGTATTTTGCCGGTTAGTCGACGCGAGCAAAATGAAGTCGAGGATTTTAAAAAATCGAATAGTCGAATAAAATCGACGATTTTATATATATTTATACATATATGTACTTAAAAGTTCTAACGTTTACTTAAAGATTTTTAAGATATATTTACGTGAGTTGCAAATTTAACGTGAAGTCTTGTTTTTTGAAAAAGTTAACAAAATTGATTGCGTTTATGCTTAAAACAAGAACAAACATCTTATAGTGGAATATTAAATTTTTTTTCATACCCATTGTATCTTCATTTAAGAATCTTTAGATTCTTAGATTAGATTTGCACTGGAAAACAAGACAGAAATACAGAGGAAGGACATCAATTTATTGCAATGTGATCAGAAGGTACAGAAATGGTTGTAGCTATTTTTATTCGTCAAATGAATTAATAAGTAATGGAGATCTATTGGAAGTTATATTTTCAAACTTTGAAGCATTGCTAAGAAGTTTTCATTTACATTTTGATTTATTCTTTACATTTTCTTTACTTGGTCTTAAATTTAACTTCATAAAACCTGCAGAAACTCTGGATTGGAAGTACAGGATGTTTTTCACAGTAAATAGTGTATAATTCTAAAATAAACAAACAGAAGAAAAAACATTCAGGAATCATTACTTTGCTGAGTCATGTTTTAGACAGAAACCACTCTTTAAAGTTTCTGAATGTGTGTGTGTGCAGGAGAAACCGGTTCGAGTCACAGTAGCCGAAATGCCAGTGTGGAGAGAGGACCTGGCAGAGACAGACAGTCGGATACATCAGACAGCGAGACGACAGACATCAAGAGGATCAATCATCAGCCTGGCACCAGAGATGGCAGATATGACCCCAACAGGTGAGTCAGGACAGGTGAAACGGTCAGTCCAGGCTTGATTAATTAATTCAACATGAGATATTTTGGCAGGGACATGTATCGTCCTGTTTGTTAATCTTATAATGGCTTGTTTTGCAGATTCCGTCTGCACTATGAGAAGGAGAGCAAGGAGGAAGTGGAGAAGAGGAAGAAAATAGCGATGGAGAAAATCCTGAA